CCACCATTGAAAAGGATCTGTTCGTCTTCCTTCCTCTTCCAAAGATAACAAAAAACTCAAAAAAATCGATCAATTCAAGCACAGAGCCTTATCTACCTTTAGAATCAAAATAATAGCCAATCAGCTCCCTATCAGATCAAAACTAAACAAAAGATATCCCAATCTATATACTAACAATTTCTGTCCCAGATGTAAATCTTTTATTGAGGACATCCTCCATGTCTTCTCCTGTATACACAATACACAATCACTCCCTTATAAACAAAAAAAAGCCCAAATTACAAAAACTTATTCTTGAATCGAACAATAAAAACTCAATAACAACAAACCCAAGGAATATATTCAACCTATCAAGTCAGGATTTAATTCATCTCGCCACATGTAACTATCAATCCCATTTCAATTACATTAGAAAAAAAAGAGAAGAAATCTCCAACTACGCTTTGAAAATTCTTTATAAAGTGTAGAAACAACGATCTGCGACCTCAACAACTTTACTATCCTCAGGAATCACATGGAGAAAAACTCCAAGCGCCATCCCTAGCAATAGCCAAAACTCAACAAATAACAACAATTTATTATTCATAAAAGTTCTTAATACTCTATAAAATTCAAACAACCTCACTAATAAACAAATATTCACTCCAGCAATAGTCTCATCATTCTGAACAGGCATTAGCCATTCAGCACTACCTATATAAATCCACCTACTTGGTGAAAATTTGTGTAGCTAGTTTAAGTTGCAATAGGCTATAATTAATTTGTATTTTTTTCTTTTACAAAGATTATTAATGTAATGACAGTAAACTCATTGTTTAAATAAAGTCTCACATTTAATGCCTGTTTGTGATTTAAAAAAAAAATAAATAAATAAATTTTATAATAAATTACTTGACTTGATATATTTATTATACAAAAAAATTTTTTAATATATGATTTATATTACAAAATATTTTACTTTTTATTTAATAATTCAATAAAAAAGGATTTTTTACTTATACTTCTATTTGTAAGAAAAAAAAATAGTAATTAAAAACTTTTAAATAAGATATTAATTACTTAATTTGAGTTAATATTCATTGATTTAGACTCCTGTCTTTTCAAATAAAAAAAATTTTTTTAAAAAATAATTATTTGTAATTTTTATATAACTTACTAAATAAAAATTTTTATTGATATATATATTTGTAAGAAAAAATATATATATTAAGAACTTTCAAATAAGATATAGTAATCTAAATTTAAATTAATATTTATAAAGTTAGACTCCTATTTCATGCAAATAATCATCATAAAATATGAAAAAAAAATTTTTTTTAATCTTTTATCCATTTCAGATTATCAAGACAACTTTTATTATGATAAACCTATATTTTTCTGAAAGCTCTAATCTTGGGCTACATAATAATAGTAAAATAAAAATATATATTAATTTTTTATCAAGTTATTTTAGTTCAAATTTGAATATTCAATAGGTAAATTTGTAAAAATAATTTTTATATTTAATATTTTAATCAATTCTTTTTTATTTTTTTACATAAGTAAACATCATTTCTTTATTTGATTTGTATATTAAAAGTATACATCATAAAAGAAACAACATCTCCAATTATAAATACAGTAAGTTTAATACTAGCTTGCCTACAGAAACCAAATGACTAATATTGAAAATAAAATTTTAAAATAATATATCTTGTCAGTTGATATCAAGTGGCTATACTTACCTACTCATTATTAGAAGAAATAAAGTTAGAATAGTTTTGGATTAGTTTAGTAATATATTTGGAAAAGTTGAGATTGTTTTGAATATAGATATTCATGACTAAAGTAGGTAGATCGATTGTTGTTATCGATTTTTGTATGGATGGAGATTTTTGTGAATTAGATTTGGAGATTGTTTGATTATCTTTGATTATGTTGTTAGAAGATTTGTCTTTCTATTTTATACTATTTTGTGGAGAGGTGTTGGCTGTAGCATATAATATTTTAATCAATTATATATTACTAAAGTAATTTTTATTATTATAAATTTATATTTTTTTAAAAGTTCTAATATTTAACCATTTAAAAGAAATAAAATATAAAGTAATAAATATATTTCTGTTGATAATAAACAATTTAAATTTGATATTTAAACAAATTTGGTTTTGATAATTATAAATTTTAAAATTATATCAAATTAGATAATTGCACTATCATTATGTTATTCCAATATAATTGTATCATATGCATTAAATTGCATCAAAATTGTATAATTGCATCATAATTGCACTATATATCACATTAATTATGCCATTATAAAAGTTTTAGATAATTATGTTACCAGTTAATCAATTTCTGTTATGTGTATAATAGTTATCAAATAAAATATGTTGAGATAAATTGTTTTTAATTAAAATATTGTTAATTACTTTAGTTTTGTTTTTGTTACAGAATAAGTTATTAATTTTAAAAAACTGATTTGTTATTTCTAGAAAATTTTCTAGTTTGAACTTGAAATCTGTAATTAGTACAAAATTATCCATATATATTAGAGCATTGGGGGTCAAATAGCTGTTGATTTTGGGATACTCAGATAGCTTAACAATAAGTGGATTATAAAAAATTATTCATATAATTGGATATATTATTTCTCTTTGCTTTATACTATTGTTAACTAGAAAAGAGTCTGTTGGGCCAAATTGAGTATTAATAGATATATTTCTATTGAAAAATAAATTGGTAATTAGTTTAATTGGTTTATCTGAACAGTTGATTCTTTCAAAAAACTTTTGGATTGCTAGTATAAAAACCAAATCAAAAGCTTTTGTAATATCTAGAAATGCAAACCAGAATTCTTTGTTATTGACATTAGCTACTTGGATGATAGAGTTAACAATAGTTAACAGTTCCACAATACATTGTTCAAGAAGTTTTGCAAAGTTGAAATAAGATAAAATTTATTTTTGCTTTAGTGTTTTAATAAATCCTTTATTGATTAGTTCTATAAAAAGTTTTCTTGTCAAGTCTATAAGTGATATAGATTTGATATTATTCAAGTTGGGATTCCAAACTAGTTTCTTAGAAATTAAAATAATGACAGTATGTTTTTGCAAGTTAGAAATAATAGATACTTGAATAATAATATTGAAAATATTGAATAATAAAATGCTAGTATTTTTCCTTAAGAGTTTAATAATTTTATAGCTAATTTCTAATTGTTCAGTACTTTATTTTTGGGAAGATTTCTGATGGTTTTATTAAGGGTTGTAAGGTCAATTGTTAATAATATCTCTTTATAAAGTTCTTGGTCGATTGAAATAGAACTGTATGCATCCTGCCAATTGGAAAATTTGATAGATTAAATAATCTTTAATGCAAAATGTTTTTAAAATAGTTTGTAATTACCATAAACTGCTTATTATAAGTATCACTTTTTTAGTATAGTTTTGATATTAAAATCTATATGATACTTGTATTTGGAAGTTTTATATAATATATTAATTTTTTAAATAAAAATTGTATTCAAAGCATTAAATTATTAAATTAAAGTTTTATTGCAATATATAGTTAAAATAAATCTATAATAATAATAATATTTTTTTTATTTCATAAGTATTTATAATTTTTAATTAAAATAAATAATAAATATTTATTTTATTTTAAGTAATGCTTATATTTATTTTTATACTTTTTTTTATAAAATTAAAATGATACTTATATTTTGGTAATGCTTATAATAAGCAGTTTACAATATACTTTTAATAAGATCTAAATTATTTTCTATTTGTTCTTCAATATTGAGAATCCAAAAGAGATTGATTTTGAGTTTAGTTTTGCCTATTGTTCAAAACTTCTTCTTTAAAGTATTTATTACTTAAGAAGATTTTTTGAAAGAAATTCTAGAAGCTTAAAAACTGATCTAAGTAAATGGCAAGTTTGACTTTTGAAGTGGTAGTTTGGATCTGAAGACTATTTTGATTTTTGATTGAAAAGTTAATTTGAATTATGAAAAGATTTAAAGAGTTGAAATATATCAAGTTTCACATGAGAATAAATTATTTAGAAAGATAGTTTAATAGTAATGAAGTAGTAATAAAGTTGGAAGGTTCTATAATAACTATGTTATTATTCTCTTTCATGTATATTAATATAAAGAGTTATTTTCTTCTTTTTACAAAAATAATATCTAGTAAAATGAAGCTGTTTAATATATGATAAGATTTAAATATTGATAGGACTTGAAGTAAATTGATTAAAGTATTGATTAGAAATTAGAAGAATTGATTTGTTAACATTTTATAAGATATGAAAAGAATAAATAGTATATGTGATATTAATTATTATAATTATTATTGTTATTAATAAGTTATTATATTTATTAAAAATAATAATAATAATAATTTTTTTTATAATATATATGTATATTGTATTTCAAATTATTTTTCAATAAGATCTATATTAATCAAGCAAAAATAAATAAAATAATTCAAACTGGCAAAAATTTTTCTCAATACAAGAATTATCAACAACAGTTAATTTATTTATCTTAATTATAAAAGCTTATATTTAAAACAATTTCAATTTTTTTAAATGTATTATTAAATTAATTTAAAGCTATACCAATCTTCTTTCCTCTAACACTAAATAAGTACACATAGCTGCTTAATACCTCTTGACAAGATATATTGTTTTAAAATTTATTTTCAATATTAATTATTTGGTTTCTATAGGCAAGCTAGTATTAAACTCATTGTATTCACTTATAAGAGATATTGTTTCTTTCATGATATATACTTTTAATATACAAATCAAATAAAGAAATGATGTTTACCTACTAAAAAAAAAATAAATAAAAATAAATAAAATACGTAATTGTAATTTAAAACTTGATTTTTATAATTCCTAATTATCCTCCTTTTTTTTAGATTAAATCACTTGATACTATTTTTATACTGATTAGATTTATCGATTGACACGTATTAAGATAGGTTTCTATACTTCTTAATTAATTAGCAATTATGCCAATTGACTCGGCGACTTCAGCTCTGAATCTCTCGTTCTCTCCTACAACCTCTGCTACGGGAGTTATAATCCCTCAAAGCCGTTCTTTCACAGTATCGGTAAACCCAGTAGTGCTGTTTTCTATTCTCGATCATTTTCTTCGAAGACAAGAAAATCAACACCGAGTCATTGGCACTTTGCTAGGTGTTAGAAGTGAAGACGGGAGTGAAGTTGAAGTTCGAAATTGCTTCCCTGTCCCTCACGATGAAACCCAAAATCAGGTACCTTTGAAAACAACAAATTTTTCTATACTTTTTTATTTATAAATTCCTTTATAGGTTGCCGTAGACATGGAATACCACCACAACATGTTTGAACTTCATAAAAAAGTTAACGCAAAAGAAGTGATTGTTGGGTGGTATGCTACTGGCTCTAATCTCAATCAGTGGAATGCTCTTATTCAAGATTTTTACTCAAAAGAAGTATTTCCACCGTTTCAAGCAATTCATTTGACAATGGACACCGACCTGAAAAATGAAGAAAAACTACTGGGTGTCAAAACCTATGTTAGGTTAATCTACACACTTTATGTATGACCTAATATATTTTCGTGTTTACATAATTTTTAAGCTTGTTATTTTTTTTTAGTGCACCTATTGGAATTTCTGCTAAGCCAGAAAATTGTCTATTTTTGCCTGTTCCATGTGATGTTAAATATTTTGATGCGGAACGGAGTGGACGTATGTGGTGAAAATTTATATTAAAATCTCAAAAAGAAAAAAGCCTATTGATTCTAATTGTTATCTTTAGTTGACCTGCTTGCTTCTGCAAAGGATCGACCTGATCGGTCTACTTCCTTAATTTCTGATATGGATCACCTTGAAAAAACGATTTTATCAGTTCAAGAGATGTTAGAGAGAATTACGGATTATGTGGACAAGGTCTTGGTGAGTAAAAGTGTTCACTATTTAATAGTTTATATTTATAGGGTGTAATTGAATTGTTAATCTGATCTAACTCCTCTAGAATGGAAGTGTGCCAGCTGATAACAATATTGGTCGTTTTCTAATGGATACAATTTCAGTAGTGCCAAAGATCGATAAAACGGAATTCGAAAAAATGTTTAACAGCCACCTACAGGTGATATACAATATTTGGGGTGTTTTATGCTGAAAAATTATAAAGTTTTGATTCTAATCGTTATCTTAATATCTAGGATTTGTTGATGGTCGTCTATCTTGCCAATATGACTCGCACTCAACTTGCCATTGCAGAAAGATTACAACTTCTTACATAATTTAACTCAAATTACATAAAGTTAATGAATATATATATATATATATATATATTTGTAATAATTTGTTTTATCATATCATTTCATTAAATTTCGTACTTAATGGTTGTTTTTCTAATCAAAAGTGAGATTAAAACTAATATAAGGATTATAAGAGAAAAAAACTAAATTATAGTAACGGTTTGTCTTTAAAAAAATTCAATTCTAGTAGTGACATTTATCTTTTTATTAAAATTTCATTATTGAGATTCAATAAGATCAGAAATTTGCAGGGTCTAGAAAATTTGAGAAATCAATTAAAAAAAATTTTTATTCTAAAAAAACAAATAAAATTATTTGATTAAATACATAATTATTTATTGGAAAAATATTTAAAATAAATATAATTTATAAAAAAAAATTAAAATTCTTAAAAAATTTATTATAAATAATACAATTGTTATTTTTTATACATGTTATCTATTTATTAATATATATTATTTAAAGATTTTATAGTAAAAAAAATAATATTTTAATATATATAATATAATTATCAGTAATAATATTAATTTTTTAAAATATATTATTTTTTTATTAAGAGTAATTTTATGTTATTTTTAGTAATAATGTTTTTTACTTTTATAATTTGAATAGATTTATTAATTTTGATTAAAATATAATAATAAAATTATAGTTAAATATTTTATTAATTACAATATATATTTATTAATAAGTCTATAGATTTGTATATGATTTTTAAATTCTTAGTATCAAAACTATTATATTATTTATATTATTTAATTATTTTTTAATTATTTTATTATAAAAAAATATATTTATTAAACTAATATTATATATAATATTTAAATTTTTTTATTTTATTTTTTTTTTGGGGGGGTTTCCCCTCATAGGTAAACATTATTTCTTTATTTGATATTATATATAACATGGTATACATCGTGAAAGAAACAACATCTCTTACATACATATGTAGCAAGTTAAATGCTAGCCTGCCT